TTTTTTTTTTTTTTTTTTTTTTGGTACAAAGGAGGAGGCCACTGGCCTAGAGCAACGAATCTATAATTCTACGAGGGTAGGCCACGCCACGAAGGTCGTGATCAAGCCAAGCTCCCAACCCAGGGGGTGTGTCGAAGTAACGTGCAATCCTAACGGCTTGAAAGCTGCTAGATCCGCCATATGATCCGCCGCAAAATTTGCCTCGCGATGCACATGCTCAACCCGTAATATCCAATCTTTGCTCAACAAGTCTCTTATTGCTCGAACAAGAGTGTCATGTACGCCAAAACTCCTATCAGTTCCCATCACCATCTTCGTTGCACATTGGCTGTCGACTTCGGCCACAACCTTACGGTAACCCCTCTCCCACGCTAAGTTGAGGCCTTGATATAACCCCCACAGTTCTGCTCCGGTAATGGTGCCACTTCCCACGTTCATGAATGAAACGTATAATTACTTTCGAGTGCGCGAAATGTAGTACGAACGTGGATAAACAACGTAAATAGCGGAAGCAATAAACTGAAGATTTTTAAACTCTTCAGGGAAGCGTCCCACTTCCCCTCAGAGCTCTTTCATTGATAAACCGTTCACACTTGTATAGTTTGGACTTACACGACTCGAACTCCCTTCTAGTCTAGCCACAACTACACACGATCCTATCAACTACTTCTCCGGCCACGTCCCGTGGACTTTACACACTCGACTCCCTCGAGCAAAACCCAGTACTTAATCCCTAAGCACTAAAATAAAGTGTTTGTAAAAGAAAAGAAACAAAACGAGTTCAGTTCTTCAGCAATGTAAGAACGCTGAAAAACTGGACCGAATAAAATAAAAATAATAGAAACTCTCAAAAACTCAATTGAAGCTGATGAATGATGAACTTGATTAGCAGCAGCTCTCTTCACTTCAATTGATTGCTTGAGTAGGCTTATATACAACCTCCTTAAGGTAAGGAGTCTTCACAGTTCTTCCTTTACCTTTTGGAAGTCAATTTCCTTCTCAATTGATTCCTTTCTGATTTGGACGAAATCCTCCATGTAAGGTAAGTTTTCTTGATGTAGAAATCGTGTATGTGATTTGGAGATCTTCAGAATTGAGCTTCCAATGGAATCTTGCGTTTTCAGAATCTGGTAAGAACATGACTTTCCAAAATTAGCCGATCTTCCAAATCTTCAAAGATCTTGTGGTGAATCTTTCCAAATCCTCCTTAGATCTTCTCATGTACGTCCAGAACTCTTCTTGTATGGAAAGCTCATCCTTTCATAGTCCTTGCCACCTATTCCTTGTCCTACAAGCAAAAGAGAATTAATTATGGCATGTGGCATACATGGTAAGTAAATATATAGGATATATATTATGTAATCCTTCTCCTAAAGGATTAGGATTCCATAATACATACTACAATAAATATATACCATATATTATTAATAATAAATATTAGGAACTTAATTAAATCATAAGTAAATAAATAGAAAAACTTCCCTTTAATTTATTTTGCTTGCTTAACAAGAAATCTTCTAGAAAACACTTAGGTTTGTCGGACATGATGCCAAACCAATGTTCTTACAATCTCCCCCTTTGGCATTCAGTTCGAAAACCGTGTTTCTTGAAGATAACCTACAAAATAAACTCAAAACAACAAAGCAATTATCTATGTTCGAACATCAGGAAGTAAACTACTCAAACACCTGCAATGTAAGAACATCATAACAATTCCTATCAAAATAACTATGAGGACTATGATCAGAGCAATCAAAACACGTCAAGATATCAGAACCTAAGTCAAATAGAGTGACCAATGCATCTTCCCCTGTCAGAATAGACAAAACAATCAAACAGCAAAACATACAGGTTCTTACATCCTGTAGAAACATGTCAAAAACAGCAACCACAAGTACTCAGAAGCAAACAACTAGAACATATTCCCGAGCATCTTCAGAAACATCCTATTTCTCCCCCTTTTTAGACTGAAATGCCAAAGGAAAATCTCCCCCTGAGTAAGAACATCAAATGAGAAAAATAAAGATGACCGAAGACAAAAGACGTTGCTTGAACTGATCTCTAATCGCTGATATGCTGTCCATCTCTTCTCCAGGCCTTTGCCATCAATCAAAGTGTTTCAGAAGCACATTAGAAAATGATGTAGGAACACAAATGGTTAAACGAATAATTCATGGAGAAAGACAAATGAAAATGGGGTTCTCAGGTTCCAAAAATGAAGATATATAATGAGGGCAGAATGAATGAAAAGTACCAGGATGTAATGGGTAAGGTTTAAAAATCAAGGGAAAGGTTGGATACTATGCACTAAGAACATTCCCATCAAAACTGAACACACAAACCCATTAACACACTAACACATGTGTCCAACTAATTCAAAATTAGGAAGAATAAGATTTCATCATCCAAAAATAAATTCCCTCACAAATTTTGAATGCCCAAGTAATTCAATCAAAGAAGGAAATCTTATGCAATATATGCCTAGTATGAAAAAAAATAAAAAATAAAAAAAATAAAATCGCACACAAAATTCACTAGATCCAAAAAATCTTTTCCTTATCAACTTAAACAAGATTGATGATAACAATCAGAGATCAACTTTGAGATTCAAACTTCCCGAGCAACACACGATAAGCGGATATATGTATATACACAAGGTAGTGCGAACCACAACTTCAGATTTTGCAAGAACACATGCCTTATTATTCATAGTGCGTTTCACTTAGTAACAATCACTGCAATAGTGAAAGTCAACCCCATTACTTTGCACCACGATTTTAAGCAAGGAACTTACCTTTTTTTTTTTTTTTTTTTATAATCTGCACTACGGTTTTTATGCGGGTGGCCACCTTATTACTCCGTGTAAGAACACCACATATAAATATGCAATGGGTGTCACTAGCTTACGCCCTTTCTCAACATTTTTTGTCC